GTCGATCGAAAGGTCGGCATTTCAGCGGTTCGAATCCCTAGTGCTGCATAACGGGGTGAGCTCCTGTTACTTGTCCCAGCTTCTGCCAACCTAGCAGTTTGAAAGCATGTAAAAAATGCAAGTAGAAAAATAGGGGCCACCTTTGGTGGGAAGGTAACAACGTTCCGTGTGCCTTTGGCATTTAGTCATGCTGGCCACATGACCACAGAGATGTCTTTGGACAGCACTGGCTCTTTGGCTTTGAAACTGAGATGAGCACCACCCCCTAGAGTCGGGAACGACTAGCACATATGTGCGAGGGGAACCTTTACCTTTTAGTTGCAGATTACAGGATAATTTTTTCCTGAAACCACATTGTTTGTTAGAGAGTAGGTTATTTGACTCTAAGTGGAAGGTAATGGATTGTTTAATGATTGATTCCATGACTTTGCAGGTGACACAACATAAAGAGATTGGTCTGTAATTTTCAACTTGGTTGTGGTCTCCCTTTTTGAAGATAGGGATAACTGTAGCTAGTGACTATAGGTTTGGCAAGGAGCTGGTCCTGAAGGATTTTTCAAAAATTATGCTTAGAGATTCTGCTATGGCACTGGAAAGCTTTTTAAAGAAGTAGGCACATAGTCCATTAGGACCATTAGGTCCTTTTAGGGGTGGGATGGATCTCGAGTCTTTAAGTTTGTTGTTTACAAAATTATAGAAGGCACGAGTCAATTTCGTGTGCAGAAGGTTTTCCTCTTATTTGATGTGATAATTGGTGCATTCAGTCTTTATCTGGTGGCATATGTTTTTGTAGTGGCTTTTAAAGTTAGCTATGTAGCCAGTTTTGTTTATTCGCCAGAGGTTTTTTTTTTTTTTTGATTGGAGCTTCCTAATTGTTTTGAGTAATATGTTTTTCTTGGTTTTGGGGGTTATTAATGGTATATATAGTTTAATGACTCTTTTGACTTCGAGTAAAAAAAATGTTATAATGGTCTTCAGCAGTATTGCAGCCAGTGAATAGAATTTGCCAATCAAGAGATGAGAGATCGGTGTCTATGAGATCATAGGATTTTTTTGGCTTTTTTAAAGTTATATTTGGGGATCCCATCATTATGATGTTTTTTGTAAGGATATATATTGAAACAAAGGTCAATCATGCTGTGGTCACTGTTGGAAAAGGGTTCTTTTATGTGTAGTCCATAAATTGAGTTTAAACTGTTGCAGAAGATGAGATCAAGCCAGTTGTTGAGTCTAGGGTTGTTAGTTACTAGTTGATCCAGTCCCAGATTAGTAACAGCATTGTACAGGGTTGCATGTATGGGTTCAGTTGTACATTCGTTCAGGGTCCAATTAATAACAGATAGATTGAGGTCACCAAGAAAGATAGGAGGCTGCCCATGTTAGTAGTAAGGTTAATTTGTTTGCATGTACAATGTCATAATTGTAATGTCATAATAATATTGCAACGACAAAGTTGTTTCACACTTAATATGTGTGTGTAGCAAAATTGTGCAAACTGATTACAAAGCTAGACATGATTGAGTTGCTAAATTAGTCCACTGGTCATTATATAAAAAATATGACATATCTGTATCTGAAAAGTCATGGGAGCACAAAGTGGAAAAAGTTATCGAAAATGAGACAGTGAAGATCTTGTGGGACTTTAAATAGAGACAGATCGTCATTTGGAACATAATATGCCAGATATCATGGTTGTCGAGGGCTGAAACGTACAGTTTATTGATATCGCTGTACCAGGAGATGCCAGAGTCGAAGAAAAAGAACTGAAAAAAATAAAATAAAATATTGCGACATGGCCATTGAAACTACACAACTATGGATGAAACATGTAACAGTGATATCCATTGTTCTTGGGGCACTTGGTACCATGTCCAAGAATTTTATAAAACACATCAAGAAATTGCAGCTTCCTGCAATAACACCAGCGGAACTGCAAAAAACTGCACTACTCGGAATATCATATATTTTAAGAAGATACTTGGTTGATACCTAGGATGCAGCAACCCGTATCAACCATTAGCACCAGTCAATCGTAATTGTGACACATATTTAAATGTGTCAGTTGACTAAGTTTCATGTTTAGTGAATAAAAGAGATAACAACAATAGCAACAACAACTAGTAGCCAGCACGGTGTGTTAAAAACAGATCATGCCAAACCAATCTTATTTCATTTTTTGATAAAGTGACTAAATTAGTAGGTCAGCAAAATGCTGTGGACATACTACACTTAGATTTCAGTAAGTCATTCGACAACAGTAGACCACAACCTACTTCTTGGTAAGCTAGAAAAATGTGGAATAGACAACCTCATAGCCACCACTGTGTCTGCATATATCAAAAGTGCATTGATGATACCTGTGTCCTTAAAAACATTGTTGTAAGGCCTAATGTAAATCCGTGGTTGACATATGAGGTTCGCAAGATGTTGAAAGCACAGAATGAGGCTTTTAAATCTCACGATATGCTGGAATTTAGAACAACTAAAGAAGATTTGAAAAACACCATAAAAAGAGCAAAGCAAGTCCATTATCATAAAGTTGAGAACTTTTTTCAGGACCCGATGAACTCCAGGCACATGTGGCAGGGCCATTACAGATTATAAAGTGGCTCCATCAAGATGCAAGGGCAAAACAGATTTTTTAAATGAGTTGAACACAGTTTTTGGAAGATTTGAAGCATCAAATAGCACCCCTGCAAGGAAAGCTGTGTCACCTTCTGATGAGCAAGTGCTTAGCTTTGATGTTACCTCAGTCTGGAGGACATTGTGGAAAGTTAACATTCAGAAGGCGGCAAGCCCAGATAATATCCCTGGGCGTGTTCTTAGGGAATGTACAGATGAGTTGGTTTGTGTTCTTACAGATATTTTTAATCTTTCACTGCAGCGGTCAGTGGTCTCATTGTGTTTTAAGACAGCCATTATTTTGCCAGTGCCAAAAAGTCTTCAATTACAGGTCTCAATGATTACCATCCAGTTGCACTTATATCCATCATTATGAAATGTTTTGAGAAGCTGATAAAGGACATTATTATATCCAGCCTCCCTCCAGCACTTGACTCACTTCAGTTTGCTTACTGTCCAAATTGCTCCACAGAGGATGCTATTTTTATCTGTTCTCCATCTGAGCGTTGCGCTTTTAGGGGAAAGAAACACTCATGTGCAAATGTTGTTTGTTGACTTCAGTTCAGCATTTAATACAATTATTCCTCAGCATTTAGCAGACAAGCTGGGCCTTTTAGACTCTAATACTCCTTTGTGCAACTGGATTCTTGATTTTCTTATTGACAGGCCCCAGTATGTGCAAGTTGTGACTAATATTTCTAACATCATTTTCTTGAGCACAGGTCCTCCTCATGGCTACATCCTAAGTCCGCTGTTGTTCACCCTGTTTATCCATAACTCTTGTTCAAGGTTTGCCACCAACCATATTGTGAAATATGCTGATTATACGACAATAGTAGAGCCTTATTCAAGATGATAATGAGGGTGTTTGACCATGTCCTAGTTCATTACAACGAAACCCTATCAGTAACACTAGCCTGTGATGCTTCACCATGCAGCATTGGGGCAGTACTAAGCCACAGGATGCCAGATAGTAGAGAGGCCCCCATCTCATACTATTCTAGAACGTTATCACCAGTTGAAAGGAACTATGCCAAAATAGACAAGGAAGCTCTTGTCATAGTGGCTGGCATTAAGAAGTTCCAGGACTTCTTATATTGACAAACCTTCACCATCTTTACAGACCACAAACCTCTGCTTGGTCTCTTCACAGATGACAAACAGACACCGCAGATCCTGTCGCCATGAATGCTACAGTGGTCCATTTTCATGGCCACATACTTGTATTGGCTAGTCTACAAGCCTGGCAAGGAAAAAGGCCACACAGACACTCTCAGCTGACTGCCTCTATCACAGACTGAGCCGGATCCGGCCCCAGCTTGTTGTATTCCGGCAATCCAGGACCTGCCTGACTCATCCCTACATGCAGGGGATGTTGCAGCTGAAACCAACACAGACAGAATGCTTAGCCGCGTTCTCAATTGGGTGTTAAGGAGATGTCCAGAGGCTCAGCCAGGCTCTGAGTTCAAACACTATGCTTCTTGAAAAAATGAACTGTCAGCCCACAAGGGATGTGTGTTGTGGGGCAGCAGGGTCATCATTCCATCCAGTCTTCACTCCAAGGTGCTGGATTCCCTACATGAGGGGCACCCAGGAATTGTTTGGATGAAGGCTCTAGCCAAGAGTTACTTGTAGTGGCTAGGCCTGGACAAAGACATAGAGAAGCAAATAAGGGGTTGCCAGGTCTGCCAAGAAACCTGACCGGAGATGCCACAAGCACCAGTGCACCACTGGGACACTACACGCACCCCATGGTCTCATCTGCACATTGACTTTGCGGGCCCCTTCCAGGGGCAGGTGTTCCTGATAGTAGTGGAAAGTTATTCCAAGTGGTTGAAATTGGTACCGGTCTCATCGATGACAACGACCAGGGTCATCTGAGAGTTGCGCTGGCTGTTTGCCACACTTGGTCTGCCAGATGTAATCATGTCCAACAATGGGGCACAATTAATGGCAGCAGAGTTTCAGTCATTCCTCAGCGCCAACATGATTCAGCACGTAACATCCATTCATTCCGCAACCACCTCGCAACCAACGATCAGTCCGAATGAATGGTCAGGACAACAAAGAAGGGACTCAAGCGGATGATGAATGGGGACTGGAATCACTGCCTGGCAAACTTCCCCAGTACAGCCACAGGTCACAGCTCAGTGGAGCTGACATGGGGTCACTAGCTCACAACAAAGCTTGACCGACTTCACCCAGACAGAGTAGTGGCGGAGACTGCTCAGCCAACCCCCCCAGGAACTTACAGCCAGGTCAATTGGTCTGGTCCAGGAACTATGGGAGTGGGGCACCTTGGGTGGCAGCCAGGGTAACTAAGGTAATGGGCCTATTGTCATACGAGGTTACTCTGGGGGTGATCAGTTATGGCATCAGCAGGCTGGTCCAGTGCTGGTTGAGGATTCCAAGGCTTTATCAGACCCACTAGAGAACTGTTTTGCTCAGTTTGCCTACACCACCCATGGCCGCCTCTGGAGAAATGGAGGTACCAAGGGCCGTAGAGCCGCTGCCATTCATAGGTGACCAAAACTGCCATCAAGACTCTGTCCAATTGGAGATGGACAATACTCCACTTAAACAGGACTCTGCAGTAACATTACGGTGGTCTACCAGGATCTGTGAGTCCCCAGCCTACTTTAAAAACTATGAATATTGAACAGACTTAGAGTAAAAAGTATCACAGGGAGGAGGGGTGTTATGTATTGAATATATATAGTTGTGTTAAGCCCTGCTAAAGTGAAACTAACCTTTATATGGCCCTAACTGTTAACTTCAACTGTTTTGGAGGGAAACTTAGTGCATTTGCCATGATAGAGCAGTACCCGAGGTGCTACGTTGACTACCAACAATCGAACTGGGCGGACCTCTTATCGTTCATTCATATTTGGATGGGTTTTTTCAAGTATTATGATTGGTTGAGGCCCTGTGGGCCCAGTGTATAAATTACAGGAATTTGCCTGTTGTTCACCAGTTCCAGTTGAGTCAATAAATGATGTTGTATCTATGCCAGTGATGGCGAACCTTTTCGGCACTGAGTGCCCAAACTGGAATGTGTGCGCCAGAGCACCGGAAACCCGAAGAACAACTGGCCAGTGCACATGTTCATGCTGGCCACCTGGTCTTCGGGTTTCTGGTGATTGCATGCATGTAATCTTCAGAAACCAGAAGACAGCTGGTCACAGCACAGGTGCCCACAGAGAGGGCTCTGCATGCCGCCTCTGGCATGTGTGCCATAGGTTCGCCATCATGGATCTATGCTGTCTGTTCTTGCCTACTGCAGCCCACAACATAATACCATCTATCGCCTGTTTACAACACAGTCCTTTCAGCAGTTCCAAGAAAATTCCACATCCATTTGCATTATTCAGGTAACTCTGAGGGCATAGATAAACCTCCAAGTGGCCTCAGAGAAAGTGCTAACAACCAAATATAGAATAGGATTTATAAAGAATATAAATTCTTCCATTCTCCATCATTCAATCAGAACTAAAGGAGCTTCTTGGATGAGAAGTAAAATGTCTTCAAGGAAAAAATAAAGGAAGTCCACCTTTGGGACAATCATGATCTAGATGACTGAGAATCTCCACAGACTTCTCCTGGATCCCACCAGGAGAACCAGTTTTTTGGTTCCAAGCATGACTAAGTCCATGTATTTAAATCATCATTATCATCACAGTTGGAAGGGACCTTGGAGGTTTTCTTGTCCAATCCCCTGCTCAAGCAGGAGATCCTATACCATTTCAGACAAATGGTAAAAATGGAGCAATGCTGGAGTTTTGCTACAAATGGAAGACTGCACCCATTCAGCTTCAGCAGCATGAAATTTTTGCTGACAAAATGCATTGGTGATAGAGTCTACATGTGGCTTTTCTAGTTGTACAAACACAGTCAGCAATTGTTTACCAAAGTATGGCTAAACAAATGGTTGCTAAGAGGAATATGTGATGCCAATCAGAGCCACAATTGGCTGGATTATTATATTGTGTTTACCCTCAAGCTGCACAAACATAGCATAATGTTTAATACTAAACTGTCACCCTCTACTTTTACTAGAATATTTCAAGTTTTGTATTTTCCACAGCAGGTTTGGTGCTCCATGTAGTCTTCTACTTTTACCACTAGATGGAGGCCTGTGAAGATGAGAAAAGGCCCTGATATGTATCTGGTTATGGTATCTTAGATTTTAGCTAAGTGTTATTAAGAATTTAATTTGGATTCTTACACTGAGCCTAAGTAGCCTCATGTAGGGTTATGATTCTGACTATATTACATTTTAAAACTCTGTGTATGTTTGCATGTAAGCCCTTTTGAAGTAAAACTTGAGATTCACTATAATTAAGGAGTACATATATTAATGTACAAATGTAAAAAAGACTAGATTCTTTTTCCCCTTACATGTTCACTTTCTAAGGATATATTTTATATATATCCTTAGGGATATATATCCTATAAAATATAGGATATATTTTAAAATTCTCACTTACTGACTGTAAATGGGACTGGCAGCTCTGTTACTAAACAGCATGGTCAAAACCTATGACATCAGGGAGAGAATCATCCATGGTTATTAAGAGTGATGTGACTTGTGACTTTCTGCTAGTTTCACCATTGACTTTGCTTTGCAGAAGCCAGCTGTGAAGATCACAAAAAGCATTTTTTGTGATTGTGAGATGCTGTGACTGTTATAAATGCTTGCTGGTTGCCAAATGCCTGAATTATTATCATGCGATGTGGAGATGCTATATTAAACACAGCTTCAAGGAACACTTGTAAGTCTCCTTTATTGGTGCTGTTGTAATAATGTTCAGTTCAGTTATGATCCAATCCAGAGGTTACGTTTGTTTGTCTTTATGGCCAATGGCAGAGACTCTGCAGCAATCCCATCAGCCTATCTCCTCCCATGCTGTCTACAGGGTTGCCACAGAGCTTTAGTCTCTGCACTTGGGTCTTCTCAGGTTTTAGGCCAGATTCCCACCCATCAGCTCCACACTCTCCTCCTCACTTATCTTTTGAAGTGCTTTGGAGTCTTCTGCAGTGCTGGAATGAATTGTTTCATTGTGTAACTGCACGGCACAATTTTGGAAGAGCACCATGTGGGACGAAGGCCTGTGGGGACTCATTGTGTGTGGGGAAAGCCTACAGTAGTCTATGGAGGGAAGAAAAGGTTTGTGGGGCCTGGTAGTGGGGGACAGGGGCCGGTCCGGGGACCCCAAAGAGCAGGAAGTGGTGTCTCAGGAGGTGGGGGAAGCCTTGGGAGGCCTTGCTTGAGAGGCTCAGGGCAGACAGACCTGGGCCTGCGCTAGACCTCACAGGGCCTCTCCCATAAGGCATTCCATGCTCCACTTAATGACTTGCATGATCATTCAACAGCCAACATTCAACATATCATTCAATATCAGTGTATGGGGATTGTTAAGAAAGACTCACTTACTAACTAACCATCTTGATATGTGACCCTAATAGGCAGGCTCCATTATGGTCTATGTTGAGGATTCCAGTATACCCAAATCATTATGAAGCAGGTGAAGTTTCTAAATGCTTATCAAAGGCAGCTTATGTGAAAGTGAAACTGAAAGTAATAAGATTTGCACTAATTTGTGCCAGGGCCGTCCTGGTAAGGGCTGCCGCCTGTTCATTAAGCAGAATTGTAAATTCTTGGTGGGACTCCTAGATTGTACACTGAATTTATCTGAGGAATTGTTATCCCATCCAGAATAAAAAAAATGATTTATTCATTTTATTTTATTTACAAAGTGTATATAGATGCTTGTTGTGTACTGAGCAGGTTCCCTAGTTTGAGCCCCCTGTTGGAGTGTACAGAAGGGGGAAAGATTCTGATTGGTTAGCCACGCTGACAGTGAGTATATAAGAGCTGTCAGCGTTTGTTCTCTGTTCTGTTCTGAGGAGAATTTGTTATGGTCTCCTGTTTGAGTTAATAAAGAAGTTACCTCAGATGTTAATTACTTCTCGTGGAGTCGTCTTTGGCAATCAGCTGATATATATTAATGCTCATATTAAGTATATAACTTAATATATGGAAAACAATATATACAAACCAGTATAAAACCCCTAGGCCAGAACTTTTTGGTTTGAAGTGTCAAAAATTCAGAAAATGCCTACTTAGACTCTGCTGACATGTCACACTCAGACCCATGCACTTCCCAGGCAAAAAAGAAATAATTCATAACAAATAGTAGTACATTAAATAAATTATTTGAATGTATCATTTAATCATTAAATATTATATAAATTGTAATTTTTTTTGAAATGCCTATCCAAGGCAGCTCTGGGTCACACAAAGCCTGAAAAACTTTGTAGAATGCTCTTACATGGCCTTGCAGTTTCTGAAATGGGTGGGAAAATATACCATGTTCTTGCACATTTTTCAGAGATGTCAGAACCCCGTGCGAGCAGGGCTTTCTCACATGATTTCCAGACCTCAAAGACCTACAAAGCAGTAGGGTGATAACCTAGTTCTGTCTGCAATAGCACTCGGAGGCTCCAACTGGTCCAGAATGCAGCCGCACGAGTGGTTATGGGCGCGACTCGTTGTGCCTATGTGACATCTCTCCTGCACGAGCTGCACTGGCTCCCAGTGGTCTTCCGGGTGCGATTCAAGGTGTTGGTCACCATCTTTAAAGCGCTCCATGGCTTAGGACCCAGGTACCTTCGAGACCGACTTCTGCCACCAGTAGCCTCCCACCGGCCAGTCCGCTCCCCCAGAGAGGAGCTCCTCAGGGTACCATCGGCCAAGGCATGTCGGCTGGCGACACCCAGGGGGAGGGCCTTCTCTGTGGGAGCTCCTGCGCTGTGGAATGAACTGCCCCCGGAATTGTGCAAGATCTCCAACCTCCGTGTATTTCGCTGTGCCCTCAAGACCCTGCTGTTCCGCCAGGCCGGGCTATCAATGTAAATGATTTTAAATTAGGTGTTTTAAATTTTTGGGTTTTAATTTGGGCCGAAATTATTTAATAATTTTAATTATTTTTTAATTGATGTCTGTATATTTTTGTGTTTTATAGGCTGTACACTGCCCTGAGTCCTTCGGGAAAAGGGCAGTATAGAAATAAAATTATTATTATTATTATTATTATTATTATTATTATTATTATTATTATTATTATTATTATTATTTGTATAATCTGAACATTTTTCATGCCGATTGTGAGTGATAATTATTATTTTCTTAAATTAATAATAATTTCCCTAAATGTTTTATCATTTAAAAAGATATAAGTTGAAGACATGTTAACCAAGATACTTGATGGCCTACTTTAGAGTCTGTCTCTTCTTCACTGCATAACGAATTGTTATTATTAAAATATCTTACTTTGTATAAAGCACATTGTTTCCAAATCTTGAATGATTGTCCTAGATGTATTATAAAAGTCAAAATGAACCACCAAGGACTTTAATGGAGATATACCATTCATAAACTTCTCTTTCTCTAAATATGAAAGCATTTCATAAATATATCATTTATTTTGTTTAATTTTATATAAAAAAGAACATTTGACTTATATATAACTCTTGTATTCTGAAGCTATTATTACAGTATGCCTTCCTATATGAATGGAACCATAAGTCCCAATGAGCTGGTTGTTCTGATTTCAAAAGTTAGTGTGTAAAAAAACATGAACAAATTTTTCCTTATTCAAATTTTCTTCCAGTCAAATAATAAAAATGTAACAATAAGAAAATAATCTATGGCAAAGATTCTCAGTCTTGCCAGAAGTAGCTTAGAATGTAGAGGTAAACCAGGAGGAGCTGCCAGTAAAAGAAGCCAGCATATTTATTTAATTTTTTCATTCCATAACTAGCTCTCTCTCCTCTGCCTCAGGAAAATCAAAACCCTCTAACTCAGTGGTTCTCAACCTTCCTAATGCTGCGACCCTTTAATACAGTTCCTCCTGTTGTGGTGACCCCCAACCATAAAATTATTCCTAAAACCATTGAAAATATGTGTTTTCCAATGGTCTTAGGCGACCCCTGTGAAAGGGTCATTCGACCCCCAAAGGGGTCCCGACCCACAGGTTGAGAACCACTGCTCTAACTAAAGAAATGGAAGAACTGAAACAAAGAATAAATGAGCATCTAGAACATCATAAAACACATAGTAACTTTGCCTGCATTGAAGGTTATTCCAAAGAAACAGCTAGCACAAGTATTAAAAAATGCCAATACTATCAAATATAAGCACCAGTTCACTGCAAAAAACAAATCAATTAATGCACAGCACAACTGCAGTTATAGCTGACTATCTGGGATGCAAAGTCATCAAAGAGATATGTCCCAGAAAATGGCATGCTGAATGATGGGGCATTTTCCCCCCTGTTGACAAACAGCTCTCTTTTTTGCCAAAGATGGTTCTTTGGTCTTCCCCACATTTGAACAGGAGTAACTAGGAATGAATATTATACAGAAGCTACTCCAAGGGGAGGATGACGACAATTATTGTCATTGAAATATATTTATCAATGTTCAAGCAGGGGGCATATTTTGTGTATGTTTGATATTTTTTTCTATACAGCACTTTTTCTAAGTCTCTTTGTATTTTTTTTCTTTTTAATTTTACAATTTAACTTTGAAAATAAATAAAAAAATTATTAAAAAAAGAAAAAAGAAAAAAGTGCACCACAAAAATGAAAGATCACATTGGAAAACAAGATTAACAAGCTGAAATCAAATGCAAATCACTTCGACCAAAAAAAACAAAACAAAACTGAAGAACAAGAAGACAGAAATATCAATCAGAAACAAGGAAGATCAAGAAAGAATTGGAAATAATAAAGCTGCAAATAACAGCAATAATTAAGAATATCAGCAGATACAATGCTCAAATTGCAAATTATAGGCACAATCTAAATTTCAATCTAATCAGAAATGTTTTTACCAATCTATTAAGAGAGAGGCTGCAATGAATCAATCAACATTTGGCAAGAAAGAAACAGTGCAGTTCTGGGCACAGATATGGGATAATGCAAAGAAATATAACAAGAATGCAGTTTGGTTAAAGAGGGTGGATAAGAATAAAAAAAATTGAGGACCCTTCCTCTTCAATGACCTCTACTGCTTTGAATTGAAATGAAGGGAAACAGTAACAAGGATATAATAAATAATACTAGAATATGATATACTGGTATACTAGAATTAGTAGAAACTTGTTATTATGTAACCATTATAACACACATATATTGTACCTTTATATTTGTATCTCCTGTAACAAACATATTCTGTTATTAGGCCTCTGTAATATATCTGGTATTTGTCAAACATATGTTCCTGTCATTTGATCAGAACCCATATCAATCTTCTTCCTCTTTTTCTCCTGCCATCTAAGAGCATGGTACCTATCTCAGTTGGAACTGCAGTCATCATCTGGGAGATAATTTACACTTCAGATCTAATTTACACCTTTGATCTATTCCCTGCAGCCAAATGAGCAATTGGGAGAACAAAGGAATGCTCAAGGAAGGCTTCTATTCCTTTGCAGGGCAACAAGGAATACACAAACCTAAACTAGGAGGCCAGAATTGGGTACTAAGCTGATGTCTCTGAGAGTATAAAAAGGACACCATACCTTCCCCAAGGTGGCTATCTCCTCACATGCATTGTATCTGTATGTTCTGGATATAGTCCCACCCAGTATTTTGTTTTTGGCCATAAATAAAATCTGCTTCTTTTTGCAAGCCTCGTCTTGAGTCTCTCTCTTTGGCATTCTGGTGACTCAAGTATATTTTGGGACCTTACATTTCTGAACTCCC